CCCCCCGCCCTCGCATACTTCTCTCCGGCTTCACGCGCGGCCACTGGGCGGTCGAGAAGTAATTTACCCCGGGAGAGTATGCAACTTGCGAGATCCAGGCCTTACGCCGTTCCAATATTCTGAAAAATGGAATGTTCTAGGAAGCTGATTTTTGTATTGTATTTTGGGGTCCATTTCTGAGTAATCCATTCACTCGCTCAACAATAGTTTTGACTCAAGCCAAAGCATGATGTAAAAGGATCCGTTACTAACGACACACTTAAATTTTGATTTTATTGATGTTTTTAAATATTTTGCTGAATTAATAAAGTATATAACTAATAAATTTATGTGCAAATATTTGAAAAAACATAATTTATGCCTCTGTATATAAAAAATATTGCCTCTGGGATAAATATTTCTATTTAATGACAAAACGTTACATTTTTATGTTAAATAATCATTCATGTATCTTCAAAATACAGTAATGCATTAAAGTATGAAGAAGGAGGAAATAAAGGAAGAAAATACTACAAATATTTTCAAAGTGTATTCTCAATGTTAGCTTTCGTGTGAATACTTCTGATTTTTTTATTCAAAATCAAAAACTATGTGATAACTCAAATTATAATAATTGTGAAAAAGTACATCAACAATTTCAGATACGGGAATGATATGGGAATGATTTTCAGCTTCCAAAAAATATTCAAACCGAAACCGCCCCCCCCCGCCCCCCGCACGGGAATGCTAGGGTTGAGACAAACTAATACGTCACTGCCACCCTGGTCCGTGTAAGGTAGATAGAGTGCTTTCGCGTGCTGTTGCTGAGGAGTATCCTCTAAGTCATTAAAAATAACAAAAGAAATGTTCCAAACTGAATGTTCTTAAATAAAATTCGAAAATCATGTGAAACCTGGGTACAAAAGGATTTCTCATTTGCACAAGAAAACGTCGATAATGGGCGACAACATTCCGGCAGGTGCACTGTGTGTGCTGCCGTTACATTTTGCATGGCGAGCGCTTCCAAGATACTCGCTTGGAGAAAGAAAAACGCTGGGAGTTCATTAGTTCAAATATACTCTTCTTTCAAACATCTGCCAATGATTTAGATGTTAATAGGCATGTTCTTGTTGCATACCAACTGCCGCTTTTTCACGTAATTAAATTCTGAGGAAGTGAAAAAATGCGAATCGTTTGCACCTAAAGTCGAAAAACATGTTCCTAACTCATGATCTCTTGTAAGTTTTAACGAAGTAATTCAAAACAATATATTGGATTCATTTAATTTTTTGTTAAATAATTCTTATCAATATTCCTTTATTTCAGTTTCTTACAGAAATGCGTTATTTATCAAAACATGGGATATTTATCTCTGAATTACTCAAGTTCAACAAAACGTGATAGGCATGTTTTAAATATTTTGTCATTTCTTCAAATGATAGAACTTTAATGGACCAATGCTCATTGTATTATTACAGTTTGAAATACGCTTGTGAATACGAAATAACATAAATTATATTAAACAATTAACATGGTCTTACTATGTCAAGTAAAAGAATAATTTACGGTATTTTAAAAGTCTAAATATGTTTAGTCCATTTGCTGATAATTTTCACGTAACTTTAATATAAAATTCGTCTGAAATAGATTTACAGTTTGATTGGCATAACGTCCTAATAAATTTCTCACTAAAGATTACCACAATTTGAGCACCTTTATAGGTTAAACTTACAAAGAAAACCGGGAGGAAGCAACAAAATTCTTTGCGACCCCAGCTGCCAGCTGTTGGGAGAGCGTCTGGCCTTTATCGCCCCGGATCGCAGCGATCGTTTCAGCACAAAGGCCGCTCCGCTGCGCGTTGCCGACGCGGCGAACTAATTACGTTTTTAAGCGGCGCAGAGGCGCATAATGAGGTGCGAGGCGCCGAGAGTGCCTTGCAAGCACTCGATCGATACGAAATTATGATCTCAATTTTGTAGTGACGATAGAGAAACGCGAACGCCGTGTGAGGAAAGTGGGCGGGGCTTCATGGCGCAGCTAAGGTTCTCTTGAATATCCTACCTTCGGAAGCAGCCTTGAAAATTTCACTTCAGTTAGGACTTTGAAGTATTACTTACAATAGTTTATCTATACAATATTTTTTTCATGAAGTTTCTTAACGTGATTGAATCCAAACACTGAAACCACATCACAACAAGCATGTCTGTGTAATATAGAGAGAAGAAGATATAGGGAAACACGTTTGTGGCATTGAGAATAAAACTACGAGAATTCGTTTTACAAGACAAGGATACTACACCTTAAATTGTATCGATAACAACCATTTTCGTCAAATAGACACATCGGAGAAAAAAATAGGTATACAAAATATATCTCTTTTCCCCAAATTATTAGTTTGGAGATCGGTATGTTTGCCTTTTCTGCCTCATATTTTGCCGCTCTCACTTTCACTAACTTCAAATACACTTCCGTTGTTTCCGTGCATTCTTCTCGCCTTGCGGAGAGGTTGCAACTAGTCTCAGCTTTACCTCATCACTTTCCAGAGGTCTCTTTCTTGTTCCTCTCCTCTGTGCGGGATCTTCACTTTAATTAACTTTTTGGAGCTTATAAATTCCAGAATTCATACCCTTACCAACTTCAAGCGTTGGGTTAATCCGTTTATATCGAGCTTTCGTATTCATCTCATTCTTCTTTACTGTTTCTCGTCTAGATTGTCGTCTTTAAGACTAAGTGCGCTTCAGCTTGGAGCCTGCTCCATACTGAAGCTAATTTTGAAAGTATAACGGACATGTCTAATTAATTTTCTACAAGTTTCGAACGCATGAAATTAAAAACTGTATCATATATTTCAATATTCATTCCAGATTGAATAGTAATATCATTTTGTATTGTAACTGAAGTTGATTAAAAGAAAGGAGAGGTAGGATTATTGACTTTTGAGTGTGTGAAAATATCGGTGATCTTTATATATCGGTATACTTTATTGGTGGAGACGTCGGTAAAATATATTTTTCTTGTTTTAGACACAGATATTAATATTTGGGAATTTTACAGATCTTAGCATAGGCATTGACGGTGATCTTAACGTTGATCTAAACAGTGCCTATTGAATTTGTTCTCACTAAATAACTCCTTCACAATTAATAGTGGAATTTGTTACTCATGTTTTTTTTCGTTTATTAAAATTGAATCTGTTTAAATTGTTGAATATCTTTGACGTGGGAACTTAGAACGCAACAATGCCTTAGCGAATCCGTAGTAACGCCTACCATTTCGAACTAATATGTTTTAATTAAATGATTCCGAGAAATTGATAAAGTGGAGACCAAAGGAATGAGCGAACCGCGAGATCTTTTAGACAGCGTGCCCGAAAGAGCGTAACTTCTCCCTGTCAAGATGGGGCCAAATGGATCCCAACAACGCACCGCGAGGCATCGCACCGTCTTCGGCACGAGACCAGTGGGCTGCGTACGGCGCGTGTTCGAGCAGGTCGCCGGCGTCTGAGCGCTTCTCGCCCTCCCGCGATGGGACCGGCACCGAAGCAGCCACTGCCCCGGGCAGATGCCCGGCGAAGGCGAAGGCGGGGCCAGGGCCGGGGCCGTGGGCGGGGGCGTGGCCGAACGACAGCGGCCCTCCGCCGGGCGCGGCGGACTGGACGCAGACCCCCGAGCGGGGCGGCATGGGATGCAGGTGAGGAAAGGAGTGGCCCTCTCAGTCACTAATGTCAACCGTGCGTATTAACCTTAGGAAGGGTAGAAAAATGCAACGCCAGCAATGTGGGATATGTGGGGTAATCTGTTACCCCAATGTACAGAGACGGTATTGCAATAATATAATGTCACTGGCTTTTAATTTAAAATAACAGCAATTTACTACAACTTATAATTAATTTACATTGCATGGAAAACACATGTTTAATCCATATTCTTGTAAGATAGGTTTGATGCATTGAAGTTCGCATTTTTCAGGTCTTTATTTGTGCACGCACTCCAACTGATTCAGTTATTTCTACTTCGCTCATATAATAGTTGAGAATTTTTAACTGAAAGTGTAGTGAATATCATCAATTCTTTAAGGCAATGCGCAAAAATAAGATTTCAATTTTGGGGGAATACGTAGCTATATCCATACCCGATTCATATGCGAATGTGTCGTTTAGGAGTATTTTGTTGCCCCAACTTACCTCAAATTCTTTACACGAATGTGCAAGTCGAATAAGAACACTTACCAGAGACCAGGCCTGCTCAACTCAGTAGCTCGCGGAGCAACCTAGAGCCGGCTCGCTTTTCACGAGGCCGGAAATTCGGCCGCGAGCTATTTTGAGTCCGGGGGATGGCCTTCACTCATGGGCTGGCGAAATCGGCTTGGAAGGGATCGGGGGGGGGGGAGGGGGATGAAAGCGTACATCTATCGGCACCGGAGCTGGGTGAATTATCTTTCTCTTTCCGGCCTTCGTATGCGACAGTGTTTGCAAACAAGTTAGTCGATGTTAGAACTAGAGAGCAGTGTAATAGGTTTAGAGATTTTAAGATCGTGAATAGTGTTATTCAGAGTCTTCTAAAATCTCTTAATGTGGACATCGTAAATTTCATACTAAAATAGAAGTGCGGAGTTGAAAATTTAAAAACAAACAGCCGCCTTTATGCTGAAGTGGGGTAGAAACCAATTTTAAAGTATTTTTAATAAATACATAGATCAACATTTTACTTAATTTCACTTTTTTACTGCCTTACTCGTCTAAATCATTTTCATAATTAGCTAATCAAATTAGATTTGAAAATGGACAAAACGATTGCTACATGCAACCTAAAATGCGCAAGGCCAGCCTTTCTTGTTTTGCATAACGTAAAATAATAGTGAAACAAGTGGTTGATCAAACCAATAAAACACAAGTTTAATAAAGAAATAATGGACACGAGAGTGAAAATGGAAATTTACTTCATTAGTTTCATAATAGAAACAATTTGACTGTCTGAATCAAAAAAAAATTACACTTTTAATTTGTTCTTTGGACATCGGTTAATAATCGAACAGTAGTTATGATAAAAATATTGAAGTGTTTTGATTTTTTTCTTTGCACTGATTTTGCCTGGATTATTTAAAAAATAATTGTTTACGTGAATTTCATTGATTAAAACCGTTTTATGAGTCCCAGTAAAATAATCGCGTCGAAGCGAGTGCCTCCCGATGCCGTCGCAAAGCAAAGCAAAGCAAAGCAACGCGAGGCGGCGCACGGCAGTGAGGCGGGTGGCGCGGGCGCAGGGCGAGTCCGCCGCGGGCGCCGCCGCTGCACGAGGTGGAGTCGGGCTGCTTCCGGCTGCAGAGCACCGCGGGCGCCGGCCGCGACCTGGTGCCCTGCCCGCGCGCGCCTGCCTGCCTCGACGACCCCGACGCAGCCGGCAAGGACGCCTCCAGGCAGCAGTTCAACGCCGCGTTCGCTGTGGTGGCGTCCACGGCCATGCTGCTCGCCTACAAGGACTTCCCTGTGCCAGACGCCCACCGCAAGTGGACGAGAGACTTTCTCAGTTTAATTAAAGATGACGAAGGACAAGTGCCGCCCAACATTGCAGGTACTGCGGACTCGAAGGGCTCAGAGGGGACGTTCTTCATAGTAGTTGATGGGAAATGACACTCTTTTAGCTACATGTAAATACTTTCTTTGGTAAATACGGTTTTATTTTTCTAGCAGTTTATTTCATTCAAGTGAGAAGTGTCTAGCAACATGACTACATTTTCATTGAAAATGTTATAAGTGATGTAATTTATGTGCATTAGAGTGAAAATAAAGTGTTTTTTCACTTCGTATCATATGTAATAAAATAGGACAACCAAATTTACGTTTTCCTTTAAACAGTAATTCAAATTATTATTTTGAAAAGATAATAATTACAATTGCTTCATGAGGTAAATATTTTAAAGGAAACATTTTTTTCTTTTGTTTCTGCAGAAAAAAATCTCGTGCATTTTATATGTGGTTAAAAGCTATTTTTGTTAAATGACAAGAACATTTCATCTAAAATAAAAGCCACCTTTTTCGATCTCTAATAAAATCTTGATAGTGGGGCAATAGAATAAACAACATGGCGTAGTAATGTAAGAATGCGTAATCGTGAATTCTTACGGGCCAGTGCCTCTGGCTCCAATGCCGGTGTGGTTGCTGCAGGCATTCTGTGGGAGCTGGACAGCACAGCCCCCTCCACTCGCGCCCGCCAGGCGGCGGCGAGGCGCTAAACAGGCTTGCCAATGCACCGACAGGAGAAACATCATCGTCGAGACGCGTCACGCAGACCCAGAATATGTCTACTATTTGAGTTATGTTTTTCATAATATGCTTTCCAATGTAACACCATAAAATAAACTACTTTGTTATTAACATGCTGTTCAATACATCTTCCTTAATTTATGTCTATAGTCATTGATACTTTAGCTCCCTTGATTCCTCAAGGTAAAGTAAGCATTGTGGAATTTCGCACGTCTTTTGGAGGTAATGAGAACCAAAGAGATAGAATAAACTGAATTGACTGTCTTCGTCTTATCTATTGAAATATCAAATTAAATTATTTAAATGCACAGTAATTTAATTTAATTTTCATACAATAAACATTTAAGATGTGTCCTTTTTGAAATATTACTTACATAAATGAAATATCTTTCGGTATTTTCGTATCTCTATTAGATTAAAATGATCAAATGTGACAACCACAATTATTCCGTAAAATTTAGAGATAGAATACGTACTTGTTTAAAAGTTTAATAATTATGTAAAAATAAGACTTTTTTTCAAAGTACATTTTTTAAAAAAGTATAATAGGAAGTTTATCAATAAAATAATGTTATTGTATTCAATCAATTCGCTGTTATTGTGGTACGAAAATCTCAAAAGAAGCGTGAATTTCTTTGAGAAGATTTTTTAGACAATAAAGAACAATTATCGTTTTTAATAATATATATTTTTCCTAAAATTATTGTTAATCGTTTCTACAAAATTATCCTATTATAAAATATAATGAACAGTAATGCTTGGTTCTTTTTTGCATTTAAGCCAACAGGCTGAAACAGAGGACGCGGCGTATTATTCTGTTAGAGCCCTTCGGAGTTAACAAGAACGACACTCCAGTGCGCGAAAAGTATTGTTTCCGCGCAGATGGCGTTCGATGTGCGGGCGGAAGGGGACACTTTGCGTTTTCCGAAAGAGTTTCCACTTTCCATTGGCTGGAGGCGGAGGCAATTCCAGCGGAGCACAACGGGGCTGCGCGGCGAAGTGAGTGTGAAATACGCGAGAAGTTTTCCGAGCGCGCCAAGAAATTCATGGGATTATTGCCGGGGCGTCCGCCCTGCCCTCCGCCCCGCTCACCCACTTCCGGCTGAGGGCGCCACGGGAGGACTGCCGCGAACGGCATGGGGCACGGGGGAAAGGTGGGGCATGGGGTGAAGCGGTGGGTGGGAGGCGTCATGCGTGCGGCATGAGGCTTGATGCGTGAAGCGTCAGGTGTGGGGTGCGGGGCGTGGGAGGGCATAGTATGCGATGTAGAGCGTGGGGCGTGGTGCATGGGGGACCGAAGAATGGGCATGGAGTTCGAGGCGCAGGACGTGGGGCGTGGCACGTGTTGCGTGGAGCATTGGGCGTGGGGCGTGGAGCGTGGAGCGTGGAGCATTGGACATGGGGCTTGGGGCGTTAGGTGTTAGGCGTCGGACGTAGGGCTTAGAGTGCGGGCGTGGAGTTCGGAGCGTGGAAGTAGATGTTCACCATGAGCGAGGGACCCGAAGAATGGGCCTGAAGTTAAGCGCTGGATGTCAGAAGAAGAAGTGGCTTTGGGCATGGACCTTGGAGCGCGGAGTATTAGGACGGGAATGCTGGTTGCGGAAAATGGGGTTGGGCACGCTTCGCGGGGCGTGGAGCGTAGATGCGTACGTACGTACTAGGAGTCGAAAATGCAACGTAGGTTGCGCAATGGGAGGCTCCGAGAGAACGGTGTTCTGGGTTTGAGAAATAGTAAATAGTGCGAAGGGCGCGAGAGCTTCAGTCGTGAGCGCCCAGGTGCGTGCAGCCCTGCTGCCAGAACGTGGGTCGCTTGCACGCAAGGAGGAGGGCGAGATGTTGGGTCCGAGC